GTTATTCATACCTGTGTGGTATGGAGTCCCCTGAGAAACTTTCTGCCTCACACGTTGTACCCCTTTGCTTTTTTTCCCATTCCAAGAAAGGAGATCCAACAGAATGTGGAAATTATTGAACAGTATCATTGATACCACATGCAAGCAAGATTTTGCTGAATATTATCCAAAAACAACTGGAACAGCACATCAACAAAGAACTGCCTGAAGTGCAGGCTGGATTGAGAAGAGGCTGTGGCATTAGGGGTATTATAGCTAATGTCAAATGGATCGTGGCTGAAAACAGAGAGTACCAAAGGAATGTCTACCTGTGCTTCTTTGACTATGGAAAGGCATTTAACTATGTGGATCACAACAAACTGTGGCTGATTTGAGAAGAATGGGAATCCCTGAAAACTTGATTGTGCTTATGTGAAACCTATACTTGGATCAGAAGGCAGTCGTCAGAACAGAGCAAGGAAACACTGCATGACTCAAAAGTGGGAATAGTGTGTGTCAAGGATGTGTCCTATCTCTATATCTTTTCAATCTATATGTGGAACAGATTATCTGGAAGGCTGGGCTGTATGAGAAGGGTACTGTCAGGATTGGAGGTAGATTCATCAACAATAGGTGTTATGCAGATGATGCAACGCTGCTTGGTGAAACTGAGGAGGACTTGAAGTGCTTGCTGCAGAAGGTCAAGGACTGCAGCCTTCAATATGGATTGAAGCTCAACATCACGAAAATAAAGATTCTCACGACTAAGCCAGTTGGCAACATCATGATAGATGGTGAAGAGATTGAGACTGTTGACAGCTTTAGTTTGCTGGGCTCTACAATCAATACTCTTAGTATCAGCAGTTAGAAAATTAAAAGATGAACTGCATTCGAAAAGTCTGCTATCAGACACCTCTCCAAAGTACTGAAGAGCAATGATGTTTGTCTGGAGACTAACGTGTGCCTGACAGGCCATGGTTTTTGCAATGACTTACTATGCAACAGAAAGCTAGACAATGACTAGGGATGATAGAAGTTGAGTTGAAGTCTTTGAGATGTGCTGCTGGAGAAGAGTACTGAACTGGACTACTAGGAGAACAAACAAGTTCCTCCTGGGGAGGGTGAAGCAAGGCTGCTCTTTGGAGGCAAGGATTCTGAAACATCATCTGCCATACTTTGGATATATTGCAAGACGAGATCAGTCCATAGAGAGGGATATCATGCTTGGGAGGGTAGAGGGACAGAGCAGGAGAGAAGACCCTCAATGAAATAGATTGATTCAGTCACTGGGGTCATGGGAATAGGTATGTTGGAGACAATAAGATTGGCATGGGATAGAGCAGGTTTTAGAGCTGTTGTTGCTATGAGTTGCAGGCAACACGACGGCACACAATAACAACAATAACAATAACATGAAGTAAACAAAAATACCCATGAGGAATGTACACATAGAAAATGGGAAGCATTTGCTTTTTTGTTAGTTTGTTTTCTTTTTGGGAAATCACTTGGTATTTCTTTCTTAACATTACATAACCATCTGCTTTAATGTGAAGATGAAAAGGGAAGTAGAAGGGACAGCAGAGGGGTAGAAAGGAGATGGTAGCCTGGAAATAGGGAGTGCTGATACATTTAAAGGGTCATAACAAATGTCAGAGGACAAGCTGTATGTACATTATTGAATGAGGATCTAATCTGCCATGTAAACTTTCATCTGAAATACAATAAAAGGTTTTCTTAAAATTAGTATTATTTTAATCCAACTGAAAAATGGGCACAGGATATGAACAGACACTTCACCAAGGAAGACATTCAGATGGCCAACAAGCACATGAAGAAATGTTCAAAATCCCTAGCTC